CTACACAACACAAGATTATACAATTTACACAGTGTGGTTAATAGAACTCAATTGCACTCTACAGAACTACACAGTGAAATTAACACAATTCAACTATTAATGAAACCAGTAACTAATATATTTAAGCAATACTTACAAATCCAGCAACAATAATAGCGTAAAGACACACTAGAACTCGGAGCATGCTCAGAACTTGTGCACCCTTATTTTTGACTTGGGGTGGGGAGGCAGCCTCAGTGTGATCAATCCTTCATCCGGGCAAAAAGACACATGCCCTCAATACACAACCTCCCTGAACAGAGGGGTCGAGGGTCTTTTATAACATAACCTGCTATCCGGTACCTAATTAGGATCTGTTCCCTGGCCTGGCCTGATAGGCTGATAATGAGGTAATATGCAATATTGCCTTATAGGATTTTTCATGATGCCTGCCTGATTGCCCCGTGAACAGTGCCGGGTGTGGGTATGGTCAGTGTGCATGGCAGTTGCATCTTATCTCCCTATGCCTACCTCCCTACCTTCAAGGACTGGTCAAGAGAGTCTTATTTATCTCTTGCAGCTGTGCTCTCTTGCAGCTGTGCTCTATCTTTTCATGCTCACTTCCCTGTTCTTAGATGCCTACAAGGTTAAATTCCATTCACTGAAAGCTGCATTGTGCACTTACAATTTATGCTTTCTCACTGTGTGTCAGCGGCCTACATTTTCTGTGAGGGGCCTTTGTGTGGCAGAATGGGCAATGTGCGCGTGAAGCCGTGGTCAAAAGGACCTGCTCTGTGACCATCAGAAGGTCAGATTGTGTGCATGGGTTTGCTTTATCTGTTATACTCTTGATCAAAGCAGAATACCATCTGTCATACACTCCTTCCTCTCCCATAACATCCACCTCCCAGAATGATTTATTTAATCATCTTGGAACAAATAAGTATTGACTGACTTGAGAAAGGGCTCAGAATGAGGAAGTGTAATGTCTGGTTACTAGATTCCAAATAGAAATGTTTCTTCAACATTCATCATTTTCTGGGATAAAATCCATATTCTCATGGACTATTTCAGGTACCAGTGTTTATTCCAGAAATGTCACGGATCATCACGGAAGAGACAGACTAATGCAGCATAGAAATAGACAGGGCTTTAAAATACCTATTCCTGTAGGTGGATCGAGGTATCTAGATAGGCTTATGTGTAGTGCTGGGTAGGAGCTGCTTGTCGTGGTACATGTAGGTACCAGTGACCTAGGGAAGGGTAGCCAAGACATCCTGGAGGCCAAATTTAGGCTGCTAGAAAAGAGACTGAAATCCAGGACCTCTATGGTAGCATTCTCAGAAATGCTTCCAGTTCCACGCGCAGGGCCAGGCAGGCAGGCAGAGCTTCAGAGTCTCAATGCATGGATGAGATGATGGTGTATGGAGAAGGGGTTTAGCTCTATAAAGAACTGGGGAAACTTTTGGGATAGAGGGAGCCTATACAGGAAAGATGGGCTCTACCTAAACCATAGTGGATCCAGACTGCTGGCACTTGACATTAAAAAGGTTGCAGAGCAGTTTTTAAACTAAGAGATGGGGGAAAGCCAATTGGTACGGAGGAGCATGTGGATCGGACAGAGACGTCTCTTAGAGGAGAGTCTATTGATAGAGATTCTCTAGGTTTTAGTCAGGAGGAGAGGATGGAAGAGGATAAAGTATGGGCCAGATCAGATGAAAAACATTCACATAAAAAAGAATCTGACCCCTCAGAAAAGGGCAGACAGTTGTAGCCATGATGAGTTAAACGGTGATGAGTTTTTAAAGTGCTTGTACACAAATGTTAGAAGTCTAAAAAATAAGATGGGTGAACTAGAGTGCCTCGTGTTAAAGGAGGATACTGATATAATAGGCATCACAGAAACCTGGTGGAGTGAGGATAATCAATGGGGGAAAATCATTCCGGGATACAAAATATATCGGAATGACAGAACTGGTTGTGTGGGTGGGGGAGTGGTACACTATGTGAAAGAAAATTTAGAATCAAATGGAGTAAAAATCTTAACTCAACATGTTCCATAGAATCGCTATGGTTAGTAATTCCCTGCTGTAATAAGAATATAACAGTAGGGATCTAATATCGACCACCTGACCAGGACAGTGATAGTGACTATGAAATGCTAAGGGAGATCAGAGAGGCTATCAAAATAAAGAACTCCATAATAGTGGAATAGTAATAGACAGGGCTTGCCGAACTGCGGCGAGCCCTGCTCGCCAGCCACACTGTCTGGCGATCTGCGCATGCGCAGATTGCCTGAACCCGGCTCTTCCGGGTTGTCGAGCCCTGGTTTGGCATAGTGCGGTGGCCACTTTTATTTTAATGAAGCGGGAATTATTTAAATCCCTGCTTCATTGACTATGTTGGGTAATCCTTCGACGGAGCCATGTAGTCTAGACATACCCTGGGAGAAGCCCCTTGTTCCACCCAGTTGATTAGGTGGAGAATGGGGGGTGGGGCTCCACAAGTTGCAATTTAACTGTGGAAAAAGCCATATATGGCTCACGAGTGGTGATTTGTCCACCTCGGTCTGTTTTAAACTGTAGAATAGAGCTATGACTGATCATCCCAGTTAAAGCATACTTTTCATACTTTTTTTTTTGGTAACATTAACATGATTACTTTTCAGTTGGTCTTTCCTGGAAACTCCCAAGAAATCTCTTGGGCAGGATCTGGTCCAAGAGGTAACTATCACAGGACTGCTTGGAAATAGTGACCGTAATATAATAACATTTAACATTCCTGTGGTGGGAAGAACACCTCAGCAGCCCAACACTGTGGCATTTAATTTCAAAAAGGGGAACTATGCAAAAATGAGGAGGTTAGTTAAACAGAAATTAAAAGGCACGGTGACTAAAGTAAAATCCCTGCAAACTGCACGGACACTTTTCAAAGACACCATAATAGAGGCCCAACTTAAATGTATACCCCAAATTAAAAAACACAGAAGAACTGAAAGAGCCACTGTGGCTTAACCACCATGTAAAAGAAGCTGTGAGAGATAAAAAGACAACCTTTAAAAAGTGGAAGTCAAATTCTAGTGAGGTAAATAATAATGAGCATAAACACTGCCAAATTAAGTGTAAAAATGTAATAAGAAAAGCTAAAAAGGAGTTTGAAGAACAGCTAGCCCAAAACTCCAAAGGTAATAAAATGTTTTTCAAATGCATCAGAAGCAGGAAGCCTGCTAAGCAACCAGTGGGGCCTCTGGACGATTGAGATACAAAAGGAGCACTCAAAGATGGTAAAGTCGTTGTGGAGAAACTAAATGAATTCTTTGCTTCAGTCTTCACGGCTGAGGATATTAGGGAGATTCCCAAACTTGACCCATCCTTTGTAGGTGACAAATTTGAGGACTTGTCTCACATTGAAGTGTCATTAGAGGAGGTTTTGGAATTAATTGATAAACTTAACAGTAACAAGTCACCAGGACCAGATGGCATTCACCCAAGAGTTATGAAAGAACTCAAATGTGAAATTGCGGAACTATTAACTATGGTTTGTAACCTATCCTTTAAATCAGTTTCTGTACCCAATGTACCACCAATATTTTAAAAAGGGCTCTAGAGGTGATCCCGGCAATTAGACTGGTAAGTCTAACGTCAGTACCGGGCAAATTAGTTGAAACAATAGTAAAGAATAAAATTGTCAGACACATAGAAGAACATAATTTGTTGGGCAAAAGTCAACATGGTTTCTGTAAAGGGAAATCATGTCTTACTAATCTATTAGAGTTCTTTGAAGGGGTCAACAAACATGTGGACAAGGGGGATCTAGTAGATATAGTGTCCTTAGATTTCCAGAAAACCTTTGACAAGGTCCCTCACCAAAGGCTCTTATGTAAATTAAGTTGTCATGGGATAAGAGGGAAGATCCTTTCATGGACTGAAAACTGGTTAAAAGACAGGAAACAAAGGGTAGGAATAAATGGTAAACTTTTCAGAATGAAGAGGGGTAACTAGTGGTGTTCCCCAAGGGTCAGTCCTAGGACCAATCCTATTCAACATATTCATAAATGATCTGGGAAAAGGGTTAACAGTGAGGTAGCAAATTTTGCAGATGATACTAAACTGCTCAAGATAGTTAAGACCAAAGCAGACTGTGAAGAACTTCAAAAAGATCTCACCAAACTAAGTGACTAGGCAACAAAATAGCAAATGAAGTTTAATATGGATAAATGTAAAGTAAGGCACATTGGGGAAAAATAACCTCAACTATACATATAATATGATGGGGGAGGAGGGTTAATTTAGCTACAACTAATCAAGAAAGAGATCTCTGAGTCATCATGTATAGTTCTCTGAAGACATCCACGTAGTGTGCACTGGCAGTCAAAAAAGGAATCCTTAAAGGGATAGAAAATAAAACTGAGAATATCTTATTGCCCTTATATAAATCCATGATACACCCACATCTGGAATACTGTGATGGTCTCCTCATCTCAAAAAAGATATATTGGAATTAGAAAAGGTTCAGAGAAGGGCAACTATAATGATTAGGGGTTTGGAACAGGTCCCCTATGAGGCAAGATTAAAGATACTGGGACTTTTCAGCTTGGAAAAGAGGATACTAAGGGGGGAATATGATAGAGGTATATAAAATCATGAGTGGTGTGGAGAAAGTGAATAAGGAAAAGTTATTTACTTGTTCCCATAATTTAAGAACTAGGGGACACCAAATGAAATTAATGGGCAGCAAGTTTAAAACAAATAAAAGGAAGTTCTTCTTTACACAGCGCATAGCCAATCTGTGGAACTCCTTGCCTGAGGAGGCTGTGAATGCTAGGACTATAACAGGGTTTAAAAGAGAACTAGATAAATTCATGGAGGTTAAATCCATAAATGGCTATTAGCCAGTATGGGTAAGGAATGGTGTCCTCAGCCTCTGTTTGTCAGAGGGTGGAGATGAATGGCAGGTGAGAGATTGTTTTATCATTACTTGTTTGATTCACTCCCTCTGGGGCACCTGGCATTGGCCACTGTCAGCAGACAGGGTACTGGGCTGGATGGACTTTTGGTATGATCCAGTACGGCCATTCTAATGTTATGTAGTGTTTGGTATCTTAATAGTGAAAACAAGCTCTAGAACTGAGAACAGGAGTCTACATTCTCTCCATGTACAACACGGTATTCAGAATGCAGACACTCAAACTTGGCATCACAGCTAGATACTAGATGACTGGATACATCTTGAATACTGATTATTTTTTTGTATACTGACCTTGCAGTGTGTTCTTCCCCCATCCCTGCTTTATGGCTCAGAATATGGTCTTTTTAGAGTTTAATGGCTGGAGCTGACAAGATGCATGACTGTTTGGAAGCTGATAGCAGCCATAATGGCAAGGTATAAAAAAAACAGTGACTTACTGCCAGAGACCCACAAAGGAATCTTTATTCATTTTTTTTCAGCATGCAATTGATTTGGGGGCTGAATGAAAACTCCACGCTATGAATCTTGTGTGCATTGATCATGGTCTCAGTTGCTAGAGAACACACAGTAAGGGTTCATTCTCTCCTCTGTGTGTTATACACTTGGGCTAGGTCTGCATTGGCATGATTTTGCACAAAAACGGCCACTTTTGCACAAAAACATGCTGCCTGTCTACACTGGCGGGGAGTTCTTGCACAAGAACACTGATGTTGTAATGTATGAAATCAGTGCTTCTTGCGCAAGAACTGTGATGCTCCCACTCAGGAATAAGCCCTCTTGTGCAACTGTTCTTGCACAAATGGCCAGTATAGACCGGCAACATGAATTTCTTGTGCAAGAAAGCCCGATGGTTAAAATGGCCATCGGAGCTTTCTTGCACAAGGGAGCGTCTATTCTGGCACGGATGCTTTTGCGCAAAAGCACATGCCAGTGTAGATGCTCTCTTGCGCAAATACTCTAACGCAGAAACTCTTGCATTAAAGAGTATTTGCGCAAAATCATGCCAACGTAGACGTAGCCTTACTGGCTTTGTTTTCAACACATGCTGGCTTCTTTCTCTTTTGCAGGAGGACCAGCCTATTTACATGGCAGTGAAAGGAGTAGTATTTGATGTTACTTCTGGAAAAGGTGAGTTGGCTTCTTCCCACAGGGTTCTCACCGCTCTTTTTCCCCCCTTCACATTATCCTATCTAGCCTGTTTTACAATTCTAATAAAGACAGGCAGTTGCCATTTTAGGCCATGTTAACTAGTAAAAGTAAACCCTAGTGACTGTCTACCTTATGTCTTCACTACCAAAAAAAATGGTAAATAGGTTTACAATGAGAGAACTAACGCACACTAATTATCCTTCTATAAATCCCTAATGGAGACAAGCCACTATAGTTTTTACTGTAAATTGGTGTAGGTTATAGTGTTGACTGCCTTGTGGTAAAATTTACAACACCTTGTCTCCATTATATTTTATAGTGAGATTTTCCTGGAGGTAAAAATACTCCTTTTTTGGCAGTGTTGAAAAGTCTTGAGTTAGAGGATATTTACCCATTACCTTTTTACCTTCAGTTAACTGATTGCTAATTAACACGAGGTGGTTCACACTGGCCTTTAAAAATATGTTAACATCCCTCAAACATTTGTTCCAGGATGTAAATCTCTGTTCTTTACCCTTGTCTAGAGTAGGATTCAGAAACAGTTAGCTGACATGTTAATAGTTCAGTGTCGAGGTGTCCAACATGCTAGCCACTAGTGGCTGGGTGGGCGGGGGTGGGGACTATAGTGGCTTCAGAACTGGTTGGAGACCTCGTGCAAGTAAATTAATATGCATTAAATTGGTCAAATGAAATTTTAAAGGCGCACTGATTTGTCTACACAAGTCTATGATTTATGCTAGCAAACAAACATTCTCATACTGGGCAACACTTTTCAAATACTAATTTAGACAAGGCTTTACAGTTTATAAACTTTTTTTTAAGGATGGAGGCCTTTCCTCTTAAATGGATATAAACAAAGCTCTCTGAATACTAGAGAAATAAGAGAGCAATACTAACTTGAGGTCAAATGTAAAGGTTTTTAAAACTGCGGTCTACTCCCTCTCCCCGCCTCCCCCACCCCCTTTGCCGCCACACACACACACCTCTTTTAAGCATTGGGTGAATCTTTTCTGTACACCATGGCACAGTTAAGGAGGAACCTAAAGTTTGTCTTGAGACTTCGCTGAAACTTTGGGAGGAAAAGGGCTCGGATATGAGTCCTTTGGTTTTGGCTCATTTTGGGTTATGATGGGCTCATTTCATGCTGTTTTAAGCAGATGCTTAATCTGACTAATTGTTTTCACTGTTGGTAATTTGAGTGTTACTAGATTTCCTTTTCTTGAACAGAATTTTATGGGAAAGGTGCCCCATACAATGCCCTCGTTGGGAAGGACTCAACAAGAGGGGTTGCAAAGATGTCACTAGACCCAGAAGATCTCTCACATGACATAGTAAGAAATGGATTTGTTTGTTTCATTTTGGCTTTTTAAAGTCTTTTAACTATGCTTTATTTTTTTAAGAGTGAATTCAGGATTGGTAGAAGCTTCCAGAGAGCCTGATAGGGAGGAGTTCTCTGTCAGTAGAACCAACACAACTAGGGCAGCTGCTGAGCTGCCCTATCAACATAACTTAACAGATATTTAGTGATTTCAGAGGGGTAGCCAAGTTAGTCTGTAACCGGAAAAACTTAAACAACAACAAATAGTTTAGTAGCACTTTAAAGACTAACAAAACATGCAGATGATATCATGAGCTTTCATGGGCACAGCCCAGTTCTTCAGATGACTGGAGTATTGGAAGTCCAGATACAAGAATAAATAAAGGAAGAAGGGAGAGAAGGAAAAAAATGAGAGGGAAGAAAAAAAGAGACAGTGAGTAGATAAGCTTCAGAGGAATAGCGGAGTTACGTCTCAAAGGGTTAGCCGAGCCAGTCTGTAACAGGAAAAACATAAAAAACAACAAATAGTCTTAATAGCACCTTAAAGACTAAATAGTTAAAAGAGGCTGATAAGAACCATTAGTTTCCTCTAGGAAAGGAAGAGTACGAACACCAAATTCTACATAGTGCTGCCAGACTATTTGTTTGTTTTTTAAGTTTTAGCTGTTTAGTGGAACAGCATCTAAGGATGTGGAATTCCGTTTCCTTGATCAGTTCAGTCCTTGGTATGTCTGCTCTGTATCCCAATAATGCCGACTGTGATGGTGCTTTCGGATGTAGGCACCTTTTCCCTGGGAAATTAATTGAAGCCAACAACTCTGAGGATGTCAGGCTTTATTACTGCTGGACTGAATTAAATCAGTGACCTACAGATGAAAGATTCTATGATAAGCCAATTATGTAATCTGAAGGCTGGCTTCAGGCTAGGATAATCAACATAAATAAAGACCTATGTAAATACCTGCCTTTTTTCTTGACCATATTTCATTTAGACAGGACTCTCTGAAGAAGAGTTAAAATCCCTGGATGATATCTTCAATGATGTGTACAAAGCCAAATACCCTATTGTTGGCTATACTTCTGAAAGAATTCTGAATGAGGATGGCAGCCCCAATCAGAACTTCAAACCTGAAGATCAGCCACATTTCAGCATTAGAGATGAATTTTGATGAAGGATTTAGCATTCTGAAAATCCTCAGATGAACATTGTGGAATATTGTAAGACTTGAAAACACTGTTTCTAAGGCAGAAGATCACTTTATATGAATTAAGTATCTTTTGTATTTTTATTACCCCTTCCTAGCTACATGGATGTTGGTTGATTACTACTGTAGCGAAGTCCTTCAAGTAGTGCACCAAATAAAATTAATCAGTAGCACGTATTTGTAGTGTGCACCCCATGGGGGAATTATTTCAATAAAATTCTCATGTCAATATCTTTCTCTTTTTATATTAAAAAAGAAACATTGGATAGATAAATAGTCATTCCCTAAAGGGGAGACAGTGTCCTTTAACACCTGAATCGTGAGACGAAGGCTTTTACCATTTCTGGAATCTGCTTCCTTTTCTGCTACAAACTATCTTGCTTCACTTCTCAGGCTATGTCTACACTGGAAGACAACTTTTGCAAAAACCTCTGGCGCGTCCACACCTCAAATGCACTTTTGCGCAAGTAAATCCACACTAAAACAGCAGAACAGAGAGTTCTTCTTCAGGTAGTGTCCCTGTGGGTGCTCCACTGTGGGTGTCAGGCTCGTCCTGGCTCACAGTTTGGAGATGTTTTAGCCGTTGTTCAGCAGACCGTGCATGCGCAGCTTTTCACACCATTTCTGCTCACGTGGTCCGGCCCTGCCAGTTCCTTCTAACCATCTTCGGGCGCAGACAGGGAATTAGCTCCCTCTCACGACCATCCTGTCAGGATTCAGAGAGGAGAGTCTGTACATAGTTCGTTAGTTAGTTCTTCATCATTCTATAGTGGCTAGTTAATTGGTTTAAAAAAAAAAAAAGATTTTATTGGTTTTCGTTTGAAACCATGCCCTGCTCACCAGGCTTCAAAGTGCCTAACATGCTGGGGCTCTGTGTCGCCTCAGACAGGCACTCTTCCTGCATCAAGTGCCTTGGGTAAGGCCACATTCCCCAAAAATGTCAGCATTGTTCACAGCTGATGGCGAGAGCACAGCGTGACTGTGAAATGCACCTTAAGATGCTCTTATTTGATAAGGCACTCCAGCCACAGACGGGCCAAAGAACAAGCAGTGGATTCTCGTCAGCCCTCCCCCGTGGCAACGAGCTCTTGAATAAGTCGTTCCCCATCGTGTTCCTTGCCAGCGATGAGGCTGAGCTCTGGAGACAAGCCGAGTACCTCTTACAAAGTGGCAGCTCGAAAGCAGCATAAAGACAAGCATGTCTGAAGTATATTGGCACCGAGCTCAATGGCGCACGTGGCACTGAAGCTGACCTCGGCACCGAAGCCCCTGGGACTGAAGTCGGCGCGGGTGGCCCCAGCACCTCCGGCACCTGATTCCCACATCGGCACTGACTACGATAGGGCACGCAGTGCCCGGCAGCTCGGCACCAGGGAAATTGATGGCACGGCACAAGAGTTCTGTGTAGGCACCGATGGCCACACTGCCAGAATGTGCACCACCACCACTACAAGCAACACAGTTGGCACCGACATCCCGACCACACCTTCTCACTGCGTCCTCACACGCGGCACCAGAACTGCTGGCACTGCTGAGTGTAAGAGAGATTAATTATACTGTAATAATTGAATAAGTTGAAGGAATACTGTTTGTCTCTGAACAGGAAAGAGAAGATTCTGTTTGTAAGCATGCAGATCAGAATGAAGCCAGGTGTGCCTGGGATAACAGGAAAAGGAACGTCTGGGGCAGAGCAGCTGGGGTGCTGCTGGGTTGCTCCAGTAGCACCGCTCCTCGGCACTACTGGACCAACCCAGCAGCACG